TGGAATTGACGAGTGGAATTGAATAGTGAGAATGACGAATGATGAAATAAAACAATCTGCATCATATTTGACGAACGTGAGTTCGGAATCTGTATTGGGTAAATTCCAACTTCGTCACGCCAGACTCGCTGTCACTCGACAGATTGAAGATGATAAATGCGTACGGTTCCTTCCAAGTGCGTGTTTGGTAAGATAATAGAGGTGGAGCCTTCCAGGCGTCTGGGTTTGCGTCCTGACAATCAGTTACTGGGCTCGGACGAAGGGGGGATGTGGAACTGGATTCGCGGTGATTTTCCTGGGATGTTAATGTTCATTCCTCTGACCGGAGGCCCCACCTTCTACCTTTCGAAAAAGGAGTGGCAAGAGCTTAATCCCGTTCAACTTAAGGCCCTGTGTCGCCGTGTTGCTAATTGTGAGACCTTTAAGGAATTGTGCCTGCCCGGTACGATGCCTAAGAGATTGCATCACTCGGATCAAAGACCATTTCTAAGTTCGCACGAGCACATATACTAATCTTGTGACAGCTGCTATCTTGCCGGGACTCTGTAGAGGATGGCTGACGAATAAACCGATCACGCATGTCTTATTACCCCGCTTTACTGAAAAAGCGGACATCTTCCAAACCTCACACCACATAAACGAGTGATGACTACAGCGGTCCAGAACGCCACGACCTGTTGTTTGTTCTCTGCCCCGGTGAAAATATGCAGCCACTTCCATTTCCACTGATGTTGACAGGGCCATGCAGCGGAATGTTATTGTTCAATGTGATATCACAGTGGGTCTGTTCTCAACAGGAAGAAGGAAAGGAAATGATATGGGAAGGGCATGTACCCTACACAAGAAATTATAATTTATGTAAATTATCATTGAAAACTCTCTTAAACATAACGTATTTCCTTTTCGTTCTACTGGGGCCTTAAGTTTACGTCACTGCGCCCCGCTTTCCATCTCCTCTCATATGGTATCTTGTCCTAAAACGATGGTTTTGCTTCAAGCCTGTTCACTTAACGGTAGTGCAAATGAAACTTGTTTGCTTCTGTGCGGGGTTGATGCTCACCGGGTATGATTAACCACTGTGGCTTTTCGAGACTACCCAATAAGATCTCAGTGAAACCGACCTTTCTTACACCGACTGTTACTCCCTCTCACCTTGTGCGGCCACCCGGAAATTACTCTGGGAAATTGAGAAGCACATGAATAGGTGCCGAGCTCCCGTGACCGAGTGTAAGCGCTGCAGCATCGAAAGCGCGAAAGGTTCAGGGGGAAGGTCGATGACCATAAATGCTCTCGCAGTATTGAAGTATAGTCTTTTGTTGTTAACTACTTAGCCACGGACTTTCGCTCCTTGGAATTTGCGTCCACCTTGGTTCTTCATATCTTGAGAATCGCCTTGAAAGCAGGACCTCCATTTCGCGCGAAGGCGGAAGCGCCAAATCCTATTGGGGCTACGTCATGAATTGTCCAGTAGGCGTCGAAAATGAGTCTCGAGACTTGCTCGAGCAACTCCAGAAGCCAAAGACTTTGGGGCGAACTGGTCACGCGTCCTGTTCTTGCGGAAGACGAACATGGCAAAGAACGATATTTCTTTTGTTTCCCCGACTTATCTTGTTGTGTTGTTGGATCATTCCACCTCAGATTTCAATTGTATGGAATCCCTAAACCAATGCAAAATGCCACATTGCTTGCTACAGGTCTTAGCAACCGCGTTACTTTTGGGAAGATGGCGGGGATCCATGAATCGGGAAAGAGTCCAGGGCTAGCGGAATGGTTGGAAAAGCAAGGATATGCCATTCCTACTTCGGAGCGCTGCATTGATTCTGACGGTTTCACACATACACACAGCTCTGAGGCTGTGTCGTGACTCGTGTCAAAGTATTTAATACCGTGTTTTCTCTGTTGTGTAGCCTTGATCTATCTCCAGGAAAACAACGTGATAAGGCTGAGCAACAACATTGCTATCAATGGCATCTGATATTGTCTTTGGCATTGGTTGTTGAGGGAAAAAACTGGCAGTCGGATCACCTTTCACTTTCCTAGTGCTACAGTGCAAAATCAATTGTTGTTAAATTGATTTCATTTGCCACACCTTGCAGGGGGCAAAATTGATCTTTGAAAAGGGGTAGACATGAATGTCAAGAAACGGGCTAGCGTTGGGGTAAGCTCAATCTTGACAGAGGGTTAATCTGGATTTCTAATTGGTGCTTGGCTACGCGTTCAGGCAAGACGACGTGTCAAGAGCATCGCGTCAAGTTCTGATTATAGCTTGCCAGTACCTTAGCGACAAACGTGACAGCCAGCCAGTAACTACTATGGCTATTTTAAAGAAATGGTCTATCAGACCATGTCATTGAACCCTAGTAGTCTATGACAATAGACTTTCCTAGAATCGTCTGTCAAGATCAGTCTATACGATTGGCTTATTTCCATAATATCGCTTACCGACAGACCGTATCGTTGATTGGTCAGATCTGCCCCGGTGGGCTGCGTTGCAGATCTTGTTATCCATGTCTGTCGCCTACTGTACAAAAGTTTAACTAATCGTTGTTTTACGTGAAAGGAAATTAATGAGCCCTAGTTGCCGTTCGATAAACACCGAGATATGCCGAGATCATAAATGAAGGTCATGCCGCGGCGGTCATCATCGGGGCCGACAGCAGACACCATTGATGTTATAGACTGATCGAACCAGAATGACTCGTCGGTGCGAATTGTCTACTATTCCAGAGGAAGTTCTGGGCTGTCATCCAAACTTATCTGGTACCGAACTTGGCCGGTCGAGTATGGACGTACTCCGTCCTCTGATTAATCGCATCTGACCTGAGTGCAGCTGTGCTGATGGAACTTAATTAGTAATTAACGACCAAATCAACTCCACAACTTCAAGGTTTTTGAAGGTCAGTTGTCTCAACTCCACAAGGTGAACTACCACAGACAATATAGGTGCCCTGATCACAACCGAATACCGCTAGAGAAGCAGTCTTTCGCAACATAGAATAGATCCAAATGTTAATTGTAATCCGTGACTGACTGAACTTTACCCTGCCTCAATCACAACAGGTGTGCGGCAAGACAACATTCCATATAGCGATCGTCTATCACTTACAAATTGATCGCCTTCTGGTACAGGTTAAGAGAACTCAACTGCCAGTGCGCGGACGACTACAGATTTCACTGCATTTTTAGTCCTACACAAGGATGTAGAAAATTGTTGCTAACTGGACGAGAATCTGTGACTACCCGCCAGACGGATCTGGCAGCGACTGACACTATAGTGGAGCCCTACTGAGGTATCGAAGATTCGTTCTGCTCGTGAGTGAAAACCGAGGATTGATGGAATGACATTGATCAACCACTGAGGCTCAGTAGGCATCTGTAAGCACTACTTTATTCGCTCACATGGGTAATTATAGCCTGATATTTTGCCCTGCGGCTTAACGGTTAGGCACATCGCTATAAAAAAGCCGTAAGTACACAGGCGAAATCAAGGTGTAGTTTGATGTATGCTATGAGGCAATGTGGCCGACCAGGGAAGAACCACAAGTTGACGGCTCTAGGAAGGAGAGAAGTAAAGTTTATAGAGGCCACTTGGTGTACAATATGTGTTTTTGCACTGCAGGAATCGGTTGGTTAATACTTTCCTTTTTGTGTTTTTCTTTTTCCTTCGTTTTTTCTTTTTTTCTTTTTTACAAAACAACGAGAAGGTTGGGAGAATTGGGCGTCTGCTAAGGCTCGGAAAACAAAAGAAAACATAAAACGAAGAAAAAAAAGGCAGGCAGAGGAGGGACAACCTATTTCATCGCGTAATTGATAAGGCACAAGGCCGTTTATGATAAACCGTTTTACGTATGCATGATACAATAACATGAAAACTATCCTCTGGCACATATGGTACTATACCAATTTAAGGAGACTTAGATTCTGGTACATATATAGAAATACAATGAATAAATATCATCACGTGTGCCATTCTATGCGTCACCTAAGCCGAATTAGGAAAATTACGAATGGTTAACAAAAGTCTTACATTTTTTCCATATAGATCTAAGTTCTGCTTTACACGTGGAAGCCAAAGCAGTGAATACACCAGGTTCCGAGTAACAACCACTTAAGAAGAGAATAGAGAAGGTATACTCAGACCTATTAAGAATGTATGACCACTCGTATACTGTAGCTCATCCATTTTCCCATTGCTGTTTTTCAGATTCTCGCAGAAAAGGTCTGCAAGTAGCTCGAAATCGGATTCAGTCATCGATGAATCAGCATCACTACAGTCAATCGAAGCTCTCTTACTTATATTTGGCGATCTTATTTTCTGTGGCTTTGGTGGAGCGATCGACCTTACTGGCACAATGCTATTATCTTCAGCAACACAAGAAACTATAAACAAAAGAAAGGGAATTACACGACAAGGCCACATGATATGCAATGAGAATGTAGAGTTGAGGAACCAAAGCTAAGAGATGGAAGTTCTTGTGATTGTTATCCGGACTCAACTAAAAGCATATTACTGAACAGGCGATTTAGGTAATATAGGCTTAAAGTCCAAGATATTGCTTGTTATGTTATTTGCCGAAAATGATATTTTACGTTTGCCAAATCAGGACGTTAAGATTAAGTCTTACATACAATCATAATCGTCTAGGGTTCCTCTCCGGTTTGTTTCAATTGAGCTTCTGAGCTGTTGGTATGTATTCAGGGTTCAGATTACCTTCTAATATTCTTTCTGTGACCGTTGTACCAGTCATGAACAACACTTGAACACAAAAGCTCGCAAACTAAATTTGAAATTCTTTGTGTTTATTCAAAGCTGGCATCGAGGACTGGATGAAACAAAGCGACGATAAGGCCGGTAAAATTGAGTTCCTTCTCTTTACCTCCAGACCGTCAGTTCTGTTGAGTCGGGGAAAATGTTCGATGCTTTCCACTTTTTCACGAGACTTCCAGTAGAGCTGCAAACAGAAATATGGACCTTGGCGATCCGTCCCACAACGCCTGGTGTACAGACTTTCAGCTTGAGCAGCAAGTCGGGGAAGGAGCTATCTGAAAACACAGCCGAGGATGCCCCGTGGGCTGTTACCTACCACCTGACAGCGCCGAAGTGGGCATTTGCTCCCATGTCCAACAGAGTCTGTACCTTTCAAGAAACCTTGGCTTCATGGACTAAGAATAACCCTTCAACGTATCTGGTCGACTCTGGTGTCTGGAATGCCTGCAGACATTCGCATAACGTCATGAGAGATATCATCAAATCTAGGAAGCCAATGGTCGTGAAGACAAAGATGGTCTGTGGCGATCTGAACGTTGAGGCCAGCTTACCGGGGGGGCTCCCTTCCTCTAGACGTACTGTCATCGTGTCTCCAAGTCAAGACCTCTTCATTTTGCAACTCGACCGTCCCGACATGCTCAGCTGGTCTTTATTTGATGATATCGCACCCATCGACACAGTCCCAAAGTCGATACATGTGGGACATGTGGGCTGGCAGTACCATCCGGCCTGGGCCATGAGTCTACGAGACTCTCCCTGGATCGGAGCCCTTGACTCGTTATGCTCCTACATAGTGTATGGGATTAGATTTGGTGGACTCGAAACGCTATGGCTTATAAACTGGCGGATCAAGAGGAAGCATTGGGTGCCTTGGAAAAACGAAGTAGAGAGGCCGAGCCCAAAGGTTTTCGAAACTGACAACCTTCGATTCATGGAGGTTATATTGGATGAGAATGTAGAGTCACTGGACCAATTGAGATGGGACGAGGTTGGTCCAGAGGACGGCCTCTACACCGTCGTCGACTTTCTTGCTTTTGTGAGACAGCTTCAGCTATCAGTATCCCATGTTCTTACGGCCACCCAAAGCCAGCAGGGGCCCAGGCGGACCATGAGCGTGAAGGTTCTGGCGTGTGAAGAAAGGCGGTAGTCAGTGGAAATAGGATGGGACTTGGGAAAGTATCTTTCAGTTAGTAAGCAGCGTAAAACTTGACAGATCAGCGTTCAGCAGTTGGTCAGTATCGACTCTGCAATACATACAGTCGCTGCAAGCCTTTAGAATTGCAGTGATGGTGCTCTATGGAGTCCGCATTGGAAAGAGGTGAGACGCATCAACAGTGTCAGTCATTGTAGACATGATGGCGTCATCCTTCAACATTACAAACCAAACTTTGTGTCATTGGCCCTAGTCATCGCCATCGTAGCCACTTCATCCGCTGAACAAAAGGGGATCAGCTCAGCTGGGGCAAGGGAGCTTTTCATGGTCGATACCAAGACTGTCCTTCTTGTGCCTCATTACTGCACTAATCCTTAGCCTAAATACTCCATCCGATCAACTTGGTGCAGTGAAAGTCTCCACCAGGGTAATCCGAACAGCACCAGAATACACGATTTTTCACTAGGCTCGGGACATACAGTGCCGTACTGGGTTAGGTGGTAAACATCGAGATTCTGTCGACCTGCCTTGCAACGAAGTGAACAATCGTGATATGGACGAAATGGTGGTCATGGTTTCTTTCCATACACGAACACATAGAGGTGAATGATTACATGACATTATCCAAGGCGACAAGATGTGTTGGACACCCGGCTCTATGCGTCGTTTAGAGTGGTCGAGCAGGAAGCTGATAATCAGCATCAAGCTCATCGAAGGACTCCTATAGTCCAGGCAGTAGGCGGAACAAGCAAAGACGACCTCGGAAGAAGCCAACTTCGATCGCGACTGTAATCTTTCGAGGGTACCACAAACGAAGGGGGGGAAACTTGGCCAATATTGAAATTCGCTCGACTATTGTCCAAGAATGGCCGGAACGTGCTCATATATACTGCAACCTCACTTCTGATGCTTTGTGGCTTGTCTCAATGATGTGCTAGCGCCCCTATCGCCGTGACTTGACACATAAGCAAGTATGAAAATCTTCAAAGTTCTGTGGGGATTAGTTCATATAGGGATTTTCGTTGCCGTGTCCGTTGTTACCTTGATAATATTATCCAAGTCCGAAAATGAGAAGAAAGGTATTTTCGAGCTTTCGGTACGTGTCTGACATCCGGAAGTATTCTCAAGGATGAGTTGCTAATCACAAAACCAAGTTCGGATCTGCGCCATCAATTCGTAGCTTGCCAGGTCCTTTGCAGGACGCCCCATTTCCAGCAACAAAGATCGTCGAAGGCGTTGACGATATCGCCAACTATGCTACTACGCTTGTAGTTGAGGCCACTCGAGTGGCGGGTGACGTAAAGGACAAGGCAAGCAGCGCTATAGCAGCTGCTGAGACCTTTGCTGCTGGATTCATTCCCAAAGGCTGCAGTTTCGGCACCAAGTACATGTGTATCGATCTTAAAAGTGGCTTCTCAGAGTGTACAGCATTCCCAGTTGACCATAAAGTCCCATGGGATCAACTTGCATCATCTTCGGACGGTATGACACCGGTGAACATGGAACCGGTGAAACGAGTCCTGGGAAGTACCTTATCATTGCAGTCATTTCTTATATCCGGTACGATATTAACTTTCGCTGCGACTACACTATCAAAGGCGAACCCCCTTCGTTTCCCGTTTAAAACTTCGATAGCTGCATTATTTGGGCTTCTGGCTTTGATCTTATTCGCTGCTTTATTTGGTATTGTCGTCACTATACACACAGCCGGCAAAGCGTTGGCGAAAGCAAAGTCTGGCACATTCCACCCCGGCTTTTTTTACAAAGGATCCATTGTTACTTTTACCTTGTCTTTGCTACAACTCATCATGATTCTGTTCGAATGCTGTCCATTCCTGTAACTTGGATAGTCTCTATGCGATGCTTTTGTAACAATTTTGCATTATAAAGTAGCTCTCAAAAGTTAAGAGAGGGACTAGATAGGATAGTTAACTTTATGTACTGCATGCTGACCCTGTTAGAGATTTCACCATAGTCTCCATCGAACAGATTGACATTTTGCCTCAACCTACTCTATTAATACCATGCGTGATGTCCTGAGCGCCCCCTCCAGATATCGCATCTCCTCCATGATGTTATAAATCTCGTTCCCACTACACTACTGACACTGATATTGTCATCGACCTTTCTGAACCTTTGTGTTACTGTCAGGCGCTATTCAGCGTCGTATACGTCTCCTCATCCATATCGCCGAGATTCAGGGTAACCCATTTTATTGAACGACCTTTGCACATTTGGCTGGCTTGGACCCCTCTCGTAGGAAGTCAATAAGATTGTGCGAGTATGACTTTACAGTAACAAATAGATTACCGAGTACAGTAAATAAATCTTCAGTTGTAAACGAATGGGACATATATTTGCAAACATCACATCAAGGCATGGCCGCATACTGAAGTTCATAGTACGCACATCAGCATTCTTTCTCTATTAAAGGTTCTCACGACACAAATCTCTGAAAACAATCCCTCTCAAATTGTACGACACGTATGTGTGCCCGAAAAGCGCAGAAAACAATAGTTGTACATTCGCTTTAACTCCCGTTTAATTCTGTTGAATCCCTTCATATCAGACTAATATTTATCGAATGAGTAAAAGCCATCTGGGTAATCAATATTGCTGAACGAGACGAAGTCAAGATCTTTCCAAATCTCCTCGGAGTCCCCCAGTAAGCTCCTCGAGCCTATTCCATTTTCTTGCGGACCCTCGAAAGAAATCGCGGAATGAGGCTCGCTAATATGATCTAAGGTTTAAACCGTGTTCAGATACCTGGTATGTCCAAACTGGAATGCTGCTTTTGCGGTGTTGGGGAAAGGATCGCTCTGCTGCAACTCTACTACCTGGAGATTGGCGTCCGGCCTCGATACCTTCTCTGTGTGATTGCGTACACTTTGGATCCGATTCACCAGCTCAGGGCCAGAGCGACCTTCCATGAGCCGTTCTAGGACGTTTCTCTCCCTACCTAAGAATTCGAGAGCACCCTCTTTGAGATGTGCATCTGGCAACATCGATACGTTCTAATGAGGCAAATATTAGCATGGCCGTGTAGCGCTCCGGTCTGAGAACTTTACCTTAAAAATGGAAGTACACAGGGATGCACAGTATAGAAAGAATCCGAATGCCGTTGGCATGGTCTGGAACCCTAACAGACCAAATTTGTGTAAAATAGCCTCCTGCAAGCGGCATAGATGCTGTGCTGATACATAAGAAGCGTATACTTTATCGTCTGAATTAGGGTCGCCCAGAGCATCAGGCGACCAGTGCAACAGAATCAACGTTAGATAATAGCACGCGTGCATGTTGCCAGCGAAATGGGATGGGACGTCTGGAGGTGATCCATCTGTTGGTAGTGGTATGACCAGCTTAGGAGGCAGACTGTCGTACCATTGGTTGAGCCTGAACTTTAAAGCCCAGAACTCATCACTGCCGGTTAAGTCTCCTATCGAGAGTCTCTGTCTGATTTTCATCGCCACAGGTATAGATTTCACTAGCTGAGCGAAGAAGGTGAAGTCGCGCGAATGAGCGTGTTCTGGATCGTCATAAAAACAGAAAAACGTTGGCAACGACAAGCTTTCTGTGTTAGTCTTAGAAGCGTTGTTGAACCGGCCTTGAATTGGTTAGTCAATAGATCCATCAAACTTGGCAAATAATACATTACCTTGCGTGACCCCAACTATCGCTACGTATACGAGAACTACCTGCCAGGTCTGGGTCATCATGTTGCACTCCGTTGGTGTATTTTGACATGAGCAACCTGCTTGATGTTTGTCAAAATGCTGTTCCAAGCCCAAGTCCCTGCCCATCTGTACGCATTGCGCAACTGTGAGCCAAGACTGGTAATTACATCCTGCATTGGATGACATTCCGCGTGCTTGTAGGATTAGTAACATAGCCTGTAGCGTACTCAACCTTGGAGCGTCCATGTAACGGTGCATATCTCCTAGAATATGTAAGCTTCACGACGCAGCAAACGTTGAAGTGATGCGGTTATCAACGTACCGGTAGCTATGTCAAGCCGCCTTTGGCCCTCGCTCGTCTCATCTACCAGCATCCCACCAATAGAAAAGATCGCCGCTTGTATAAGCGGTGATATGGCTTGCCGATCCCCGTACCACTGTCGATAAAATGTCGTTTTGTTTAGCAGTGGCATGTATGGGTGGACTTGAGTGAAATAGGTGTCTAGATACTGTATAGCCTTTCCTTCGGGCAGCATATCCAGTGACGATTTCGAAGCAGGAGTTGACGTCGGTTGAGTGAGGGATTCATCACGGCCTTCCTGATCCGTAACAACAGGCCCTCCTTCTTGATGCACAAAGCCTGAAGCTGTATATCGGGATTAGATGACTTTGTTGGTATGCATGCGATAACATATCTCTTACCAAACCCCATCTTATCTAATTTTGAGACCCCTGAAGCACCCAAAAGCTGGTCCCTCCCACCTCGTTGGCAAATGTAGGGTTGCGCTTCCTGGTGGGAAAGGTTCTCACGGCGTCCTTCCAAAGGATCACATCCACTCTCGAATGGTAAATTCTGTATCTGGTTGGAGTCGATACAGGTAGGTGTCTGGAGGGAACTGCCTTCTTGGTACAAGATTCCAATACCTCCGTCGCCTTCTTTTATTGATTCGTCTCCAGGTGCCTTGTTATTATCTTCCTGATATTGATTCAACGAAAACCTAGAAGAATCTTCGTCATCAGGATACGGAGGGATACGGCATAGACGTCCAGATGCCAAGCAATTTGCGCATTTTTCAGGGTATTGTTTTAAAGCATCACATCTTCTTCTAAGCTTTCGACACTCTGAGCATGTTTTCCTGGCTGAGCTCTGTATGTTAGCAGACAGACGGACACACGGGGTGGAATTAAGTGAGTGATTGAGTACTACCTCTTCGTCGTTTCCCAGTGCCAAATCCGTTAACAAATCGTATTCCTGGATCCAGTTGTGAGTAGATCGCCTAACACTGTGATCGAGGAATGTGGTACGATGGATACGCACTGTTTTGGTACCCTTCATTTTGTTTCCGGATACTTGGAGATGACGGAGCCATGGGAGGCGGGAAATCAAAGAGAAGCTAAGAGTACAACTTAACCCTTGATCACAGCTTGGTATATCTCCCACCGGAAGTGAATGCTGTATAATGGCTGTGTATCACTTATGGAACCTTTACCGGAAGGTGTCGGAATGAGGAAATAGGGGCAGTAGGTAGAGTAAGGGGCAGCTGGAGAGTGATAGCAAGACTGAGAAAGGGGGTCGGGCGGTTCATATTAAATACTGTTAGATTGCATTCGTAAGCATGACCGAGGTTCACTTTATTCTTTTCCTCGTATCTCTACACAAAACGCCTTGATGCCGATCTTGTTAGTCTGGTATAGCTGGAAGCAAGCCTAGAGATCATGCTAAAAGCCATGCCTTGAATTATCCGGTACCCCCCTCCACCTCCCATTTTTTCGATTATTGTTTAGGACCAGTGTTGGCTCGAGACCGCGCACTAGCTTTTGGAGCCGTAAGGGAGAGTCGACACGCAATAGTCTTTGCTTACACTAGACGATGTGATACTTGGTACCAATCGGGGGCTGATCTACAATGCCTCGTGTTGCAAACCTCTCGGTGTAGTTAGTGTTCAAGCATAGAGAAGGACTTTGTTCAAGCATTGAACTACATGACTTGGCGATACGATTCCTAGTTTTAAGCTTTCTTTCCCTGCTGTTGTGACTTGCTGTATGTCTTGTAAAGTCGCTTTTTCATGGTAATCCACCGAAATTCACGAATTTTCCTTCGTACAACAGACACGTCACATTGTATGGCTCCCACCAAGCAGGGACCATTTGTTCAACTGCGTGGTCCGGCCCAGCAGCTTTCTCTGCTTTCAGAAGAAAGGACGACACAAGAATCAGGATAACTTTCTTGGCCATAACTTCAATCACATGGCAGGTGTACATGGGTGGCAGAAGTCCCTGTTGCCAAGGAATTGACGGAGCTTTTGATGCTCGTTATCTCGTGACTGTGAGGCCGTGTGTTTGATGCAGTTCAAATACTCAGGAGATCTAGGTGGTCAGATTGGTAGCAAGCCGTCGAGTTTGGAAGATTGTCTTGTGGTATAACAGTACCTCGATGAAGGCCGGGTGTGTAGTATTGAAGAAATGGTCAGAAGGGTTCTCGGTGTATCTCCCTCCAATCCACGACCGTTGCTCGGGAATGAATTTGGAAAAGAGTGATGAGCCACTACCCGACAAGTACTGTACTATTTCATCTTCTGTTTACGATACTGAGGGCCGTTGAGACTCGACCTCTGTATCCAGATTGGCTCCATTGTGTCTACAATATCACGTACAAATGACTTGAGCACAACATTGTCAGCTAAAACGAAGGAGATTGAAAATGATTTCTTATTCTAGTCTTTTCGCTTGCCTCATAAATTGATCGTGTTCAGGGCTAAAAGACCACGGTATGTCTATCCTATCAAGCATAATGCTTCTACTACACCGATAGGGTCTTCATTCGAACCTTACAAACGGACGTTGTCAGTGATGCAGTGACTGTCAGTCTACTGTTAAATAAGTTATGTTATTGTACAATACAGGGCTCGCTAGGCACAAAGTACTTTCATTTTTCCACAAGATGAAACTCAGAGTATGACGGGGTATACGTAAAATGATGTGATGCGCATAGCGAACCAGATGTTTGTACCTCAATAACGCGCCGCGCAGAACCTTGACTGGTACGGTGCAACTTGCCACGAAATCTCCACTTTGTCGCTACGCCGCCGGGGTCGGGTCACAACATCAAGCTATCGATGTAAACAATACGTTGGTTTTACATCAACCTTTATCAGATGAAAACATTACTGAACATGGGTTCTGCTTTAAGCTCATATCTAATCCATGGCCTCGTTCTCCATTTTATAGAACGAGGTCATACAATCGAGATGAAAGGTTTGAAGCAAGGCGTACCGTGAATCAAGATCATATAAGAGGACAAGTATATCTTGCTGTTCGCGTACAATTCGTCCGACGTTCACTTGTCCTAGGAACAGGAGAACTATTCCTACTATTGAAGTCCTACATGGATACCTGGGCTATCATCTCTGCAACTCGTAGCACACAGTGCGAAACTAATGGTTTTTAAAGCAGGAGTCCCAGCTTAGTCATACCAACATAGTAGTGGACTTCTTTTAAAAAGAAGAGAAACCCAGCGAAAGCTGGGTGCTTCACTCCCTCCAGGTTTCATGTTTGAGGCCGTTACAATGAGTAGTTTGTGCTACCCTCATGTTCCATGCGATGATCTTAGTAAAGCATATGAACTGCGATAGGTTGTAGAAGCCAAGCTGCGAGAAGATCTTGGCACGCCGTGGCACATCGTTATTCTTGGTGAGAGCTGTCCTATTGGATCTCTGGTCAGGGTTTTCCTGCAGGTACAGCAAGGGAAATGCGTGCTTTTGGGACTTTGGTGTCACTGCTTGTGGACATCAACTCTTTGAGGCCGTTCTAGGGCACAAAGCAGCTGCCTAACTTAGATTTGGATGAAAACGCGCCGAAACGGCTCTTTCTCTGTTTACCGTCAACATGGTCTTGATTTCACCTAGGGTCGACAAGGAGAGCAAACACTCTTATGTAGATCTGTTGGAGCTAACTATCCTACGCCCGGGCACCTGATCACCTTCAATCAGTTCGATGATGCCGGCGAGGAAATCATGCATGGAAGAAGTGTTCCTCAGCATGTGGCTCTAATAATGGCCAAACGTCAAGATGTCATCGGCGATGACCTGTCACACTTGGCAGGAGGTGAATACTTGGAAGATATCATGACTCACCTAGGGGAAATGGAGGCATGATGGGAATGAGCAACCCACAACAAGCATCCTTGACTAACAAAAGATAGGACGAAACTCTTCCCAACCTTACCATGATCGATAATCAGCGCGACATCAGATGGCACATGCGACCGTACCTCATCGACTTCCTCATTGAATTCCATTCTGCCTACAGCATGTTGTCCGAGACCCTCTTCCTCGCCATCAATCTTCTCGATAGATACTGCTCTAAGAGGCAAGTGCTGAGGCAGCACTACCAGCTAGCGGGATGCGTCGCACTATTTATTGCTTCCAAGTACGGAGATAAGAAATGCAACACGCCTTGCGCCAAGGATCTCAACCGTATGTGTAGAGGAATTTATGAAATACGCTTATTCTCACAGATGGAACTACACGTCCTTGACAGCCTTGGATGGGCTGTTGGTCACCCTACGGGCGAATTATTCTCGAAGATCTTTTTGGCAGAGCATGGAGATGATAAGGAGGTGGAATGTATGGCTGCTTACCTCCGAGAGATTGCACTCTACCACCGCAGCTTTGTCTCGACCAAGCCTTCGGTAATGGCACGGTCGTCTCTTGCTTTAGCAAGAACCATTCTTAATCGAAACAGAGTGAAAGAAGAGGGAGAAGACGAGGCTTCAACCTCAATTACCCTATCACAGCATCTTCGCGAGCCATCAACGACGTTGGCGCGTAAGTACTCGACGTACAGTCTCTGCCACGTTTCTCAGAAGCTTGCCGAATTCACGTCTAGGGGGTCTGTCAGAACTCACCGAATCGCTCATATCTCCGTACCCTATATTGGGGTTACCAACAGATTTTCCAACGGTTTCGGCGACGGGGTGGAAGACAGTAATGGAGCAATTGCCGTCGATGGCATCTCAGCTAGTTCAGATATCTCGAAAAATCATTCAATGCAGAAGAGCGAGTCCTTCAACGAAGTCTCAGCAAGCAACGGCTGTCTATAATCCTGGTTATTACCAATATTTACATCCAAAGGGCTCGACTCGGCAGGGTGTGCATGTCGTTCGAGACATACAGGCTCATGTTTCACATGAAGGCGTTCGTGACAACATGGACCGATTCTGTGTCTTGTTACGTACGTAGGGTGTGATAGTGGCCGTAACATGATTGGCTGAGAGCGTGTAGGGCACGTAGTGTAAGCCTAGCACTATGTGCCGGGAACATTTAGTCAGAATGTTATTGATATTGCCGGCTATCCTTTACTACGGAGGGCTAAGATACTACCAACGTATAACGTATGATATCATGTCTCCAATACGTTCCCATGATTTCTTGAGTTTACTATTCATGTGAAACAGGAGTTCCTCGATTTTCTAAAAGCTTCGGAATACAAGGTCTTGCTGAAGGTAGACATCAAAACGTTTCCCACGTTTGTTACCTTATAAGGCACAGGTGATGAAGAATGAGTGATAATGTTTGCAAGGTTCTCCATGGCAGGTCTCTTTTTCCTTTTTTTTTTTTTTTTT